CCAACAAGTGCCCATCCTTAAAGAATTGGTTCCGAAGAAATCGACCACACCTCTCCCCACAGCCTCTCTCACTTCCAAGGGTAGAAAGAGGACCTATCCAAGTGACTCCAACACAAAAACCCCACACATATACTAAGTAAGAGAACATCAGCTTTGCCACACACCCCGTCTCCCCCCACTGTTTTCTTCCCAACCCCATAACACCAACGTCTCACGGCAAATGAAACTAATCGGCAGAAAACGCCACCCGGAGAATGAGGCAATGCCTGTGCTTTCGTTAAACGAGGAAAATATTCAATCGTCATAATAATACAGAATCGGTTTCCAAACAATAACCCCGAAGGGCAGTTCCCACATCCTCTGCCCACCTCACCTGCAACGAGGGCGAACTCTGGGAGCGCAGGTGGGGCAAATGTCCCCATCATTTGCCCTCCCTTCTGCGCTCTAGGGGGCGCCAGCAGCGGCAGGGGGTTTTAGCGCCCGAGTTTCCCCGCATCTCTCCCCGACGGAGAAAGTACCTGAACCCCGCTTTGCGCCCCCCTGGGTTATGTTTGGGGCCCCCACCATGCCCGTGAAAGGGCGAGAAGAAGCTAGGAAGCCTTTTCGGAACGCCCCTCTCCGCCTCTCCCCTCAACCCCAACCCACCACCGCGCAGCGTCGCCCCCTCGCCCCCGGGAAAGCGGAGAGCCCCAGCCGTGCGCCCTTACCCGGGGTCCCAGCCAGAGCAGCAGCCACAGAGCGGCCAGGCGGAGGAGAAGCCCACTGGACGCCGCCGCCACACGCTCCCGACGCGCCATGGCTCTCTCGACGCCGCTCCCGGGCCCCGGCGCAGCGCCCGCCCGGCTCGGCAGCCTCTCGGGCCGCCCCTGACTGCGGCGTGTCCGGCCTTCCTCCTCCGGAGGCGGAGCCTCGCCTCGCTCTGCCTTCCGCGTCAAAGGAGGACGGGATGGAGAGGCGCGCGGAGGGTCGGGCCGAGGCCGTCGGGGGTTGCCGGGGGACTGGCACCGGCTGGCACTCAGGAGGCGCCTCCAAAGCCCTGCGCGAGGAAACCCTCGGCTTTATGAAACGGAGAGACCAGAAAGAGGAGGGCCGGCCTTCAGCGGCTTCCCCGCCTTTTCCCTGCTGGCAACATGCCTGGCAGGGAGGGAGACACACAGTGCGCGCGTGTGTGTCGCATATAGATCATGCCCTCCGACTTGTTTCCCCGAGGGAAGTAAGGACGTCCCATTCCATAATAGTAATTTGGCTGTTTATGCCCCGCCCATCGGACTGAGTGGCCCCAGCCACTTCGGGCGGCTTCCGACACGCATAAAAAACATAATTAAACATTCCCGTCCCTATACAGGATTGCCTTCAGACGGCTCCGGGGGTCGGATAACTCCATACCCTCCGACATTTCTCCCATTCCAGGATCAAATCAGAAACCGGGAAGGCTTCTCTAAATCAGGGATGTCCCTGGAAAAAGGGACACTTGGGAGGGTCTGATATATGCTTGAAGGTGTGTAGATGTAGACGTTCACACCTATTTTAATATGGTTTTCCCACTCTGGAACCAAATGATTTTCATGATCTCGCGCCATAGGCAGCCCTGCCATTTAGATGTGTCGCAGGGGTATAGATATAAACTGAACAAATAAATAAGCCTGTGTCAGAGCTGTTCTACTTGAGCTCCCTAGGTTCCTACAAAACTAGGTTTTGGTTTAAGTGTTCTGCAACCTAGGCTTTTTCCTGACAACCTCATTTTCTGAAGACAGGAGATAGACCTGTCAAAAGTAGTTGGGTCAAGACATGTTAACCATCTCAGCGAGAAAGAGGCCACAGGTTGGAAGGGTTGTTGTGCAGGACAAAATATCTACAGTATTGTAGGATATGTAGGGGGAGGAATATTTGACATTATTGATGTCTCAAGGCTGCCAAAAATCTTGAGTACAGTGCCAAAGACCTCATAGCATTTGATGATAATGATGCCTAATGGGAAATAATGGTACTCTAGCACATGCTGTTGTGAATAGGCAGGGGCAGAGTAGGCTATAAAGACCACCAACTTTCCTGCTTAGAATATTTATGTTGGAACTGTTAATCACTTACCATATGGATCTTTCAGACTTTATATGATTTTACAGAAAGGTAAATTAACAGCAATGGAAGCAGAAGTGTGTAGCATTAAAACTCAACAGGGCAGCAATTCTGAAAGTTCCAGAAAGAACCGTACTTGACAAAATGGAGGGCCCAGTCCATGCTGCTAAAATGTCTAAAGGTCAGTGAGAACAGGACAAAAGCTTGTCTGAGTTCCCTGGCAATTTTAACCTGCAGACAAGTTAGTCCAATGAGAGATGTGTTTGTTTTGCATCTTGGCAGGCGGGTTTAGAGAGAGAAAGTCACCATGACCCCTCCAGTCCCTAGGTGAACTTCAGTTGTAATAATAAGAGAAACCATGCATTTCCATTAACTCTTCATCGGTTCTAAAGGTTCTTGAACAAACATAATGGAGATTAAAGGAGAGATTTGACCTCTGTGAATGAACGAATGCTGCTTAGCAAATGATTTTCCTGAGCGCTCCTAACTTGCATCTATATTTTTATGCTGTACTCATTAGCCCTTGTTAGATATCATTTGCTGATGTTATAATTAATAGGAGTTGCAAGGCAAATGGTGCTCTGTTCAAAATCAAAGCCTGTCTTCTAATTCTTATTCAATTTTCTGTGTACCAAGCTGAAATATACTTGGAGTCGAGTGTGGATTTCATGCTCTTTATTCAGCTCATAGTAGTGAGAAATGCCAATCCCTCCAAAGTGTCTGCTTTATATACATTATTTACACAATGGGCCCCACATGATTGGCTAATTCCGGGATTCTCCTGTAAGCCAATCAGGTTGCGGATTCACTTCCACCTGGAGCTGGATTGGGTGGCTCCTGCGGACCAATCAGACTGCTGCATTTTGGATCCTATTCAACTCAGTACATAACACATGCCATCACTTATATAGCCAGAAGAGAGGCATCAAAAGATGCGGATGAGGGAGTCTTGCGATAACCCTCAGGTTTGCAGAAGTACCAAAAATTTCTAGAAGAAAAGACTAAAGGGTGGAGGAGGAGCCCCTCAAGTTCCCTCAACTCCCATCGGCCAACTTTGGGGACCCCAAGTCTCCTCGGCCCACTTCAGGCCCTTCAAGTCCCCTCAAGTTTCCTTGACCCACTTTGTCCCACTTCAGTCTGTTTAGCCCACTTTAGCCCAGGTTTTAGCACAAAACGAGCACTAAACTTTGACACCTGTTTGGAGTCAATTGGACAAGGTTGGATTTTTTGGGCATTTGTTGTGTCAATTGGTTGGGGGGGGGCAGCACGAAACACAGGGTTCACAGCACAAAACAGCACTAAAACTTTGGCAACAGTTTTGGGGGATCCGGAATTTTGGGGCCACATGATAATGAAGCTTTAACAATCCGCAGTTGGGAGACTAGCACTGCAATTGCGATGGAAATCAAGTGAGGGAAGTAACCACAAACCAGGTTTTAAAAGGAAAGCAATGGTCTGAATGCGACATTAGCTAATCATTTGCTGTGGAACCACTCCAAGTCATTGCAGCAAGTGAAAACAATTCCTCTGGTTTCGCTGGAATTTAGCAAAACTGCCTAAAATGTGACAAAAACATGTTGAGGGTTGTGTCCAAGGGCAAGTAAAAAATAAAAATGAAACTGCACAAGCAGGGGCTCTGCCAAACAGAGTTCCTGAAGCAATTTCTGCCTCTTTTTTCCTTATTATTTTCTATATTTTTTTTATATATTTTTTTAAAAAATAATTTCCTCATTTTTTATATTTTAAATGTTAATGGAACTCTTGATTTAGCAAGTTCCTTGCTGGAATACTGATTTGGTGTTGTCTTCCCAAAAGCATCTGCAATAAAGATAAAATAAATTAAGCATCTCCTACTCATTTGATTATTTTCTGCTAGGGGACTTAAACATATTTATTTCCCTTAGCTCAACTCCCGCAAGGGATGTTTTCCAGGGGGAAACGAGGAATACTGTACTCTCTTCCTAACTCCACCTACCCGTTTTTAAAACGAGCAATTAGTGTCCTCTAGCGGGTAGAAGCATTTGCTGGAGGCAAGTGAAATAAAATAAATCTGGAGCCGCGATTAAAAAGCAGCCAAGGCAACAACGCTTCAAAACTTGCGCAAATTACCCCGACTCACTCCATATTTAGTTAACGGCTTCGGAGAACCACAACAATGTAGTTTCTCTCTTGAAAACAACAACGGTGCAAATAAATAAAAAGCAATTAAAACAACAACAACCAAGCAGGAAATGACGGACGTGGGAAAACGGAAAGATATACTGCTTATTTCATATTGGGTCGTGCGCCACATGGCAACCCTAACTCGGCAGCGTCCCGATTTACAGCCCAATCCATTACTCAAGAGTAAATTAAACAGGGTTTACAGGGTGCACAACACCGCCTGCAGCCGATCTCTTTTAGGCTGCAAGGCTTCAAGCGGCCGTAAAGAATAAGCGGCCCCAATCCCGGCGCCCCCAAGAGGCCGAAACAAAACGCTTTGCGCATTAGCGATGTACTTTCACCTCGCCACCTCCTCCGCATCCCACGCGGCTTCTGACGGGAAGGGGCGGGTCTTGGCGCGTCACAATGGGCATAAATAGAGCTGGAGAAAGCTGCCCCGGCCTTTTCGCTGCAAGGACGGGGAGCTGGGGAAGGTGAGTGCGGCTTATCCTTATTTTGAGAAGGGATTTGCGTGGGGAGGGGAAAGAAACGAGGACCCTGCGTGGTTGGAGGAAGCAAGGAGCGGTCTCGGGAAGCCGTCTTGTGCAGGCGAGGAGACAGCAAGGGCAAATTCGGGACATTTCTTCTGGGCCGGTTGCTGCCCTATGGAGATCCGCGGGGCTTTACTCCCCGGTAAAATTGAAATAAAAACTTTGCAGCATCAGCACCACGCGTCACCCGCAGGACCAGGAAAGCAGAACGGAATAATGTCCGGTACAGTGCGGATCGGGGGGGGGGTTCTTAGCGCACGCAAAAAGTCCTTATATTTATACGCTCAGTAATTGGGAATAACGATTGCCGTGGATTTTCTTCTGCTGGCAGGCACCCGTCGGCTTTGGAACTTTGTTCCTCAAAAAGCACGTGCCATCACGGCGAAAAAGGGCAGGGAAATGTTTTGCGTGCTTTTGAGCAGGGCCTAGTGGCTAAAAGTGGAAGGACGTCCAACGTGCAGGGGGGCTTTAAGAATATAGGATACCGAATTATACAACTGCGCCCCCGTTAGGCTGGTGTATAGGCCACGTTAGTGTATATTTTGCAAAATGATCCCAACACTTTTAATTGCTCGCTATTGCTTAACATGGTGGCGTAAAAGTATTATCTCTCCCCCATGCTCTCAGTTTCGTTTATATAGGCGATGCTCTGCTCAGACTGGCTGAATATAGCTGGAGGGAGTTATGCTCATAGCAGAGCATCTACTGCCAAGGGTGGAACTGGTGGTGGACTTTAGGCTCTCCAGAACAAATGTGCGTGGACTTTTGTGCTTTTGATGACTCTAGGCAGTCCTAAATCCTCTGAAATGCGGCTGGGTTTTTTCTTCTCTTTAACTGGAGAAAGTAGCCATTGAGAAAGGGAACACTCCTGACTGCCTAATGCTGGCTGCTGTGATGATTTCTTTTTTGGCGTGTTAGACTGCTGATGCAGATGACGAGACATAGAATCTGAGCCTCCAGCATAAAATTATAGAAGGCAGGTTGTGCTACCCTGCAGGTAGCATCTTTATGCTGCCGTACGTGGCCCCATTAAGATGCATTCACAAGTGGGAGACAGAATAATGCTCCTCAGCTTTAGTGGCTATGTTTCCACAAGCAAATATATTCATTACTGCTTACCAGTTGTAACTGGCAAGAGGATGGCAATGGCAGTGACTGGACTTTTATCTTTGCTCTTGTTTGTTTATGCTTGCAATATTATGAAGAACCATTCTTGTTTTTAAAAAAGTTACGATCAAAGATTAAATCTCCTTTCAGCCATAATTAAGAGAATTACATTGCTTATGGAATGACTGGCTTGGCTGTGATGATTATCTTGCAGCAATCTGGCTGGCACTATTTGCCGCACACCTGTGCGCTGTTGCAAAAGGAGAGCAGGCATGCAAGCTGTGTGTGCGGCACAGGAACAAAATTGTTCCATGTTGTCATTCCTCAGTCTAAACTCTATGCCTTTTCTTTTTTTTTTTGCAGGCTAGTGTCTTCCTTTTCCTCATGGAAAGAAAACTACATGAAGGAGCCGTTGCTCTTCGACTAAAGCTGCTGTGAGGATGCACTATTTTAAAATAAAATAATAAAATAAAAAACTATTGTGTGGCTCTCTGTTGACTTTGAAGCACTGCCTTTGAACTGGTGCATGGCCGATTCCATGGCCTCACCGGCTACGCTACAGTGCAAAAGTAAAGGACTTGCTTATAACTGGTGCTGCTCAGCTGAAATCTGAGTGATTCTTTTAAGGGCAAGTTACATTTCATCTGATGATTAAATACTGCAATCTGGAACTGCATCAAGGGTTGCAAATACCGTAGACAGTTGGCATTGTATACCAGAACTTACTGGGTTTCAGCTTGCCTTTGGTTTATTTGACCTGAATATTATACCCCTGGAGTCCACTGCTACCTCTTTTGAATAGTGTCATTTTTGTTTTATGTGACACACACACCCCAACAAAAAATGTTTCTGGGAATGTCAGAGGCTTCCATTTGGGCAGAGGCTTAGGACAATACATGTCCAGACTAACAACACATAATTTGTGTAATAAATTCTAGAACTTTGAATGCTCCCCATGCCTGGAAAGTGTAATGAACAAGGCATTCATGACAAAACAATGGTTCTCATACCATCCCTTTCAGGAGCCTACAGCGAAGGTTTAAAAATTAACTACATTTCCTGAAAGATGCAATTTGTTTGGCATGAATAATATTTTTTTTAATCCTCATTAAAAACTTGGGGCATTAATTAAGTAAATGCCAGTCTGGATTACTGTATATGGGCCACAGGCAGTCCTGATGTACAGTCATACCTTGGAAGTCGAACGGAATCTGTTCTGGAAGTCTGGTTGACTTCCAAAATGTTTTAATGCCAAATCACGGCTTCTGATTGGCTGCAGGAAACTCCTGCAGCCTATCAGAAGCCCCATTGGACATTCGGGTTCCAAAAGAACATTCACAAACCGGAACTCTTGCCTCCAGGTTTGTGGCGTTTGGGAGCCAAAATGTCCCAAGATCCAGGGCGTTTGGGATCCAAGGTACGAATGTAGTGGAGTCACTCTTAGTTTGGTATTGGTTATTGAGAGTGTGTGCTATATGAATCATAATTGAGCTATGAAATCTGGCATTGTCTAAATGTCGCTTAAGAGATACATCCTATAAGGGCCCCCTGTGCCTAAATCTAGCTGAAAGTACCCAAAAGCCAAGTTTGCAAACTGGATTTTTACTAGATCTGCCAACCACACAAATGGAGGCTGTACCTTGTATAGTGCAGTGATGGCAAACCTTTTAGAGACCAAAGGGCCCAAACTGCAACTCAAAAGTGCCAACACGGGAATTTAACCTGTATATCTCATTTTTTCTGTGTGCGTGTTTTGCCTTTATGACTGCTGTTGTAATAAATAATCCATGAAAGTTACTGCATTAAAATCTTCATTAAATTACCTTTCCTTTGATATATAATTTTATGGTATAACTCAGTGCGTTTTTTCTAAAAAAATATGGGAGCACTCTCATTTTGACTTAAGAAAATCACGGGGGGGGGGGAATAAATGCCATAAATACAGTTAAATTTGGAAAAATAAATACAGTCGTACCTTTTTGAACAGCTTAGTTCTTGAATTACTTGGAACCCAAACACTTCAAACCCGGAAATGAGTGTTCTGGTTTTGGAACTTTTTTCGGAAGCCGAACGTGCTCTGTTCTGTGTATAACTTCAGTTCTGAGTGCCACACTTCTGTTTTCCTAGTGAGGAAAGGCGGACTGGGCGGCAAAAGAGCAGGCACCTGCCACCCTCCAGTGCTGGGTCCCTCTGCCTCCACAACAGCAACGGTGCTGAGCAAGGCTGGGCTGGCAACTGAGCAGGCAAGGGATGTCGCCACCCGCCCCACGCCCAACTCCAGCTTGCAGGCAAGTAGGAGTGGGATCAGGCTGCTCCGCTAGGCAGCATTGCTGCTTGCAACAGGAACAGGAGCTGTATTGGGGCTGCCCAGCAAGCTCTGTCACACTTTCCATTGAGGGGTTTGCGGCTGTGCTCCCCTCAAGGGAGAGGTTTAAAGGAGCCCACACCTCCGCATCAGATCCCCTGCAACCCTGTGAAGACAGCCCGGAAGTTGCAGCTGAGAGCCCCTGCACCACCTGAAAGCAGCCAGGCACTCCTCAGCTTACCTGCCCGCTCCAGCTCCTACTTGTGTGCAAGCAGGAGTGGAGGCGGGGGTCTCCACTTCTGAGACCTCATCCACCCCCAGCACGGAAGCTACGGCCCTGCTGGGGTGACCGCATGCATGCCCACAGAGAGGGCCCTGAGTGCCCTCTGGCACGCGTACCATAATAATAATTTATTATTTATACCCCGCCCATCTGGCTGGGTTTCCCCAGCCACTCTCCAGCCATAGATTCGCCACCACTGGTATAGTATGTCAACTGTCTGTTGAGTCACAGGTGACAGTGCTGCTACTGAACAAATTTCCATGAGGATTCCTCACTGCCCTAGTAGGCTGTAGCTTACTGCTATGACAAGGGTTGGCAGCGCTATTCGAAGGGATCCTTCAGCAAGCATCTTAGATTCCCAGGCCTCTGGCCTGAGTTGCTCAGGGGGCACCTATTGCTATAGTGCAATACCAGACACATCTTGCTAGTACTGCCAAATTAAGTGTTGCTTCCTGAGGAAGATGCCATTGCAAATATATTACATTTGAAGGCTGTTAAGTGCCTGCACTGCTGCCAACAATAGCAGCACTGATCAGTAGATTCTAGGCACAATGAACTGCTTGGCATGAAGTTGTTTTTTTTACTTCCAAAGTACACATACCTCTGTACACACTGCAGGTTGGAGAGTGCTCTACGTAGGGGAGTGTGGCATATAAGTACAAAAAAATCTATGGAAAAATCCCTGGATGCAGCTCTTCCATAATATGCTAGGAATGAGCAGGCCACAACCTGTAGACTAGAAAGCAGGACTAAACAGGATGGTATCCTAGAAGAGGATAAGAACAAGGGCATGTAGCTTCTCAGTACGAATTAAGGAATTACATAGACATACATATGTGTAAATATGCTATTAAAAAAATCCAAGTAAATAACTTAGTTTTAAATGTCTCCAGAGACTGAACCCAGGAGATAAATGCCCAAGGACTGCTGACAAATTGGGGGAAACAGAAAGTGGCACATGTATCTTAACTAAGTGGCTGGAATCCCAAACAGAAGCATTCAACACTGTCTTGCAAGTCCCACTTGGGCTTTACTGTTTTGCCAAAGTTCTTGTGAAACTAAGTGCTGCACAATGATAAAGCAAAGGACATGGGAGAAACACACTTATCTGTACAGGCCCAAGACTTAAGAAGAATGTCTTTCATGGCCTTGTCTCAAAAAAAAAGAGAACTTGATTCATGTGTGCCCTGCATGCAGTGTTCACAGCTGCTGTTCTCAAAATGGTAAATAATTTAGAATTCATAAATAGAACAGTGTGGATTACTTTGCTTGGGAAAAATAGCGGTGGAAATGGTCTACAATCTGGCATTGCTGTCTGCTGCTGACAAGTTTATAATTGGTTGAGGCTGCATGGATGCCTTGGTCTTTGGACCCATGAACAGGGGAGAGAAGCTGCAGACTGGAATGGCTATTGGGCAATTGCAATCCATAACTGAACCAACTGGCTGCTGTTTCCACCAGGGGTGGGAAACCAATCTTCCATTTGTTGCTATGCCACAACTCCCATAATCTCTAACCATGCTGGTTGGGGCTGCTGGGAGTCGGAGGTGCAACAAAATCTGGAGAGCCAGCAGTTTTTGGACAGGACCTCCCATGTCCCCCTCCCCCTTTCACGACTTCAGAAATGACACCCAATCAGTTCTTTGACATGGGATAAATTTATTTCAGAGAACAAAGCAAACCCATTGTAATAACCCACATAGTCCAATTAATGAAGTGCAATGAAGTCACTTGTGTCAAATCTCGGTATCTGTTTACATATTAATTAGTGCATCTAGTCTTTAGACTTTTGTTATTGCACATGGGCGGGGTGGGGGAATAACTGTGAAGAAGACATGCAGACTTCATAAAGGGAAATGTTTCCATACGGAGAACAAGAGCTGGGTCTGTACACAAAATGGAATGGTCACAGGTGTTTACATAACAAAAATAAAGGTGTCCAAATAATATGAATACTTAAATATATTAAATGCTTTTTTTTCTTCTTTAAATATGTTTCAGGCAAGGTGCTTAAAAAAAAACCTCCACTCAATTAGTTTTCATTTCGAGATGACAAATCATGAAACGTTTTATACACAGTAACTGAACACAACATACAAAAAGTTTAAAAACCACTTAAAGCATAGCACACTATTAAGAGGCGAGCTGAATAACTCACCTGCTTTGTAAACTAAATTTAACATTCTCTTGACATAAGTAGTTGGCAATATTGAGTATCAAGAAACACTCCGTTACTGGTGTCGATCATTTATGATGTAGTGTTAATAGTTACCAATTTAATGTGCATGTATGGTCTAAAGACAATAAAGAAAAGCAAGGCAATTTGTTGTTAAGTGTTGGCCATTATCAGTTGTAATGCTCTGGAGGCCTGTTGAGCTTCCATTTTCACGAGATGGCCTAAAAAGGTGCCCACAGTTAATGATGGCAAATGAGTTACAATCAGGATTTGACCTCTCTTTAAAAAAAGTGGATCCACCATACTGTATCCATGAACATCGTATGCACGAGGAAACACAGCAACAGGAATGTGAGACAAATTTAATCAACTTGAATGACTTCATACAGGCTAGCTGCAATCATTTTCAGTACACACATGCATGTACTGACAGCATTAGACATTTCGACGTGTGTTCATGTCCAACAACAGGTATTGAATCACAAGCCACGGTGATTGTACCTCACTTAAATAAAAGGCTTACTATGGTTTGGTCTCATGGCTTTGCCTTATTTTTAATTCGTTTCTGGATCGCTAGACCCCCCTCGCTAATCGCTTCTGTATGTCTGCATGTGTTATATGGCTACTTGTTTCCAAAAGAAGCACAATTTTGTATGAAAAAATAAGCTACTATGTATAATCCACATGAAGTGATTTCACAATTATCACCTATACATCCAATTTACATTCTTAACTCCGGAAAACAGTTCAAAATTTGCTTGACACAAGCTATTGGGACTGCAGAAGTGAAAGAACATATCTGTTCATTTTACACCTCCAACCGCCTGAGAGAGAAAGAGGGAGGGAGAGGGAGGTATTCCAGTTATGCAAATTTGTTCCTTATAGAGGACGGGTTCGTGCGGCTGCATAAGGTGAGCCATCGATGCTCGGTGTGCACTGCCAATATTGCACGCTCACGAACAACAACTGTTCGCATCAAAGCTCCTGGTTCAATTGCAGTTGGTGGAGATTTTCCTAATCCTTTACAGCAGAAGGGTGCTGCGCGTTAACTGCTAACGTCGGAAGCCCAACAGCAGCTGCTGCAAAGACACAGACTGGTTTAGGAAATGGAATTTACGTTCGGAAAAGGAGATAGGAGCAACACTTGGGCAAACTGGAGCAACGATGGGCATAAAGCCATCCTCCTCGGAAAGCAAAATAAAATGTGGCACAAGGACAAAATCTACTAAACAGTTCGTTGCTGTTTTTTAAAAAACCCAAAAACCACATGAAAACATAATCTGTTAATACTGTAAACTGCAGTCTTCACATTTCATGGCTGATCAGTAGCTTCTGTGACGGATTCTTTCGGAGGACACACAGATGAACGGGGATCCATGGCTGAGTGCATTAGAGGGATATAAACATCGTCCATGTTTGGCATGACAAAAATTTTCTGCAAAGTGTAAAAAAACCAATCAGAAAATTCAAACGACACAGGCAAGTGATATGCTTCAAAAATAAGCTAATTTCCCTTCATTTTGGTCTGTCTCCTGTTTCCCAGTAACTGCATTAATGCGCGAAGGGGGTTTAAGCAGCCACAATCTAGGCTTGCTGCTTTTTGCCTAGAATTTGTGAATATTTCAGACCATCCTATCGGTGGGTCTAACAAGTATGATACTAAACAGGTATACAGCAACCAAACATAATCCCCAGTATCTTTTTATTTTAATCTATGAAACAGATTTGAAACACCAGTCATTTATGACAAAGCTACTTCAGTTTTCAGATGACAAGTTATCATTTGAACTATACAATTTTGATGAAGCAATTTACCTTTTGGTGTGTGTGTGTGTGTGTGTGTGTGTGTGTGTGTGTAAGGGTTCCCTCTTCTGCCTGCAGAAGCCCCTTATGCGCCCCCCACCCAGATTTCCAAAGCAGCACTGATCTGAAGTTTGGACAGAAGGTTGCGTCCAACTAAGTTTAATACTCTGAGCTGACCAATTTAAATTAATGGACCTAAGTGAGTTATGTCATCCATTTCAGTGGGCCTACTCTGAGTAGGACTAATATAGGCCCCATAATTTCTGCTTCACCACAAATATTACAGGTAGAATTTTCCTCCTGCAGATTTACTCCAGGAGCTGGTTTTGAGTGGCTGGCACCAAGTCAATGTGCGATAATTTCAAGCAGGTTTTCTGCATTATGATTTCAGTTGGATTTTTATAGTCTTTAAAAAAACCAAAAACAACAACAACCACCCCATGCTTCCTCACCAAGCCTTGTGAAGTGGACAAAATTATCTAAGGACACACTTAAACCCCAGTCACAATTAAAAGAGGTTTGAAGAAAAATACCTGGAATTCTTGTTCCAATTTTTTCTCTATCCATTCAGTCACATGAACCAAAGTCACCTCTCTCTCACCAAGCTTTGGCCTAGCTTTGAGCTCCAGGTAGGGTGGTCTTCGGAAGCCGTACCTGAACAGAACACAAAGAATGTATGGCGGCATTTATTTGTGTATCGGATTCATCTTCTCCTTCCTCCTTCCGCTCTTATCATAAACTACCAACCTGGGAGATACTTGCTAAAGGACATATTGAGACATCCACACTTGAACTGGGATCTAAACGCATGTCTCTCTGGTCCAAGTCCAACAATATAGCTAGCACACTAGTTATCTTGTGTATTCGCTTTATGTTACAATGCGACAAAGCTGTGAATCTTCCTTGGTATGAGCCATTAACAATTTGTATTGCTTCTGAATTCCAGTACCAAGTAAAACAGTCTTTGCTGCTAGTAGTAAACAGTAATTTACAGACGTAACAATAGAGGTGTTAATACCAAAACTTGCTCTAATTCAGGGTCAAAGGTTCAGGGATACACCTGTCTTGATCCTCATCTTGTGCAATACTTTGTTTCCCAGCAATGGGCCTCATCATAAACTGGGAAAAGCTAATTCTCCTCGATTTCTAGATTACAGTAGCTCAACCCCCCGCAATCTCGTGCTTCTCTGCCCTAATAGAACTGCTAGCTTTTACCAGCTTTTCAAATATTAGAAATCTACGAAAAGCTTTAAAAAATGGATTTAGACATTTATTTATTTATTTATTTTTACAACAGCACCCCTCCCATCTGCAGTCTGAAGCGAAATGTGGAGTCAAACCTCGGCTCCTGAACGGCTCCGTTTTCGAACGTTTTGGCTCCTGAACGCTGAAAACCTGGAAGTAAATGTTCCGGTTTTCGAAAGCTGAAAGTCCGACGCAGCTTCCGCTTGAGTGCCAGAAGCGCTTGCAACCAATCGTAAACCGCGCCTCGGTTGTCGAATGTTTCAGAAGCTGAACAGGCTTCCAGAACGGATTACGTTCGACAACCAAGGTTTGATTGTGTATCTTAACAAACTGTTTCATAGAATCACAGAATTTTAGAGTTGGAAAGAGCTACCCTGTGGCTCTCCAAATGTTGCTAGACTACAGCGCCCATCATCCCCAAATGCTGGCTCTGCTGTCTGGGGCCAATGGGAACTAGGGTCCTACAATATGTGGAAGGCTGCAGGTTAGCCGCTCCCAGTTTGTAGGAATAGCAAATGCCATACATACCCCCTCTGAAGCAAGCACAATTGTGTGCAATTAAACTCGGTCCTGGGTAAGTTGGATACAGCCAGAGGGTTGCATCCAACTAAGGTATAATAATAATAATAATAATAATAATAATAATAATAATAATAATAAATTTTATTTATACCCCGCCCTCCCCAGCCAAGACCGGGCTCAGGGCGGCTAACAACCAATAATAAAAACAAGTTGATTGAAATACAACTTAAAAACAAGATTAAAATACAACATTAAAACAATTAAAACATTAAAATGCAGCCTCAGCACAGGAGGAGAGGGGGGAAAAGAAAAGGGGGGAGGGAATCAAATTGATTCTAAGCCAAAGGCAACTCTGTTGCACAGGCCCTGTGGAAAGAAATCAGATCCCGCAGGGCCCTGGTCTCATGAGACAGAGCGTTCCACCAAGTTGGGGCCAGTGTTGAAAAGGCCCTGGCTCTGGTTGAGGCTAATCTAACTTCCTTAGGGCCTGGGACCTCTAAGGTGTAGAGTAGACCCACTGCAATTAATGGACCTTAGCCATGACCGCTTAGGTGGGTCTGCTCTGAGTAGGACTCAGGTACCAGGCACAATGCATGTTTGGGATTTGCAAAATGCTTCTTAAAAATGCTTGCCAGTTCTTAAGATGGGACATCCTATGGCATACCAACCCTTCAGCTGCACACATATGCAGCCTTCTTTGCTTTCATATGAGAGAAACAAAAAGGGAGCAGCAGGGTGGGGGGGCAACCCAAATGGCAAAATAGGAGCTCTTTCCACAGCACGCACAGAAAGAATCAAACCACTGTCCTGGTAGCTTCATAGGAACAAATGATAAATTGCACAGTTCTTGAAAAGGCTTCAAGTCAAGTCTCGACTCCCACTTACCATATTCGATCACTGGGAGGTGGAGGAATGTTAACTGCTAATGTTCCTTTACATTCTTGTACCTCAACGGTTAGCAAAAGTGGAGTGTTCGAGACCTCTTCAATCTTTTTTTTGATGAACTCCGTCTCCGTTGCTTTCTGGAAGTATTTTGACTTGGTGATTTTATCCACAAACCTCATTATTTTACTGGTTCGGTGCCCCCCAACATATCTTTGAGAGAGAGAAGAAGAAAGCATCAAAGTAGGTTTACAGCTGTTCCTGGAAAAGCGGGGTTTAAAAAAATGTAAAAAACAAAACAACGTTTTATCTTATTCCATAGCTGTACAGTGGTACCTCAGATTACAAACACCTCGGGTTACAAACACTTTGGGTTACAGACTCCGCTAACCCGGAAGTAGTACCTTGGGTTAAGAACTTTACTTCAGGATGAGAACAGAAATCGCACGGTGGCGGCACGGTGGCAGGCCCCATTAGCTAAAGTGGTACCTCAGGTTAAGAACCGTTTCAGGTTAAGAACAGACCTCCGGAACGAATTAAGTTCGTAACCAGAGATAGAATATTCACACAGAGCTCTCTGCAGGTTTCCAGACATCAACTCCCATCATCCCTGGCCATTGGCCAAGCTAGCTGTGGCTTATCACAGAATCTTAAGAGTTGGAAGGGGCCCAAGGGTCATCTAGTCCAGCCCCCTGCAATGCAGGAATCTCTGCTAAAGCATCCAGGACAGATGGCCATCCAACCTCTGCTTAAAAACATCCAAGGAAGGAGAGTTCACCACCTCTCACGGGAGTCTGTTCCACCACCGAACTGCTCCTACCGTCAGAAAGTTTTTCCAAAGGTTTAGTTGGAATCTCCTTTCTTGCAACTTGAAGCCATTGGTTTGAGTCCTACCCTCCAGAGCAGGAGAAAACAAGCCTGCTCCCTCCTCCATGTGGCAGCCCTTCTGATATTTGAAGATGGCTATCCCATCTCCTCTCAGGCTCCTCTTTTCCAGGCTAAACATACAGTGGTGCCTCGCAAGACGAAAAGAATCCGTTCCGCGATTCTCTTCGTCTAGCGGTTTTTTCGTCTTGCGAAGCAACACCATTAGCGGCTAAGCGGATTAGCGCTATTAGCGGTTTAGCGCTATTAGCGGCTTAGCGGCTATTAAAGGCTTAGCGGCTAAGCTGTTAAAAGGCTATTAACAGCTTAGCAGCTTTGAAAAAGGGGGGGGAAGCGGGGGGAAATGGCGAGACTCGCAAGACGTTTTCGTCTTGCGAAGCAAGCCCATAGGGAACTTCGTCTTGCGAAGCGCCTCCGCGACGGAAAACCCTTTCGTCTTGCGGGTTTTTCGTCTTGCAAGGCATTCGTCTTGCGGGGCACCACTGTACCCAGCTCCTTCAAGCACTCCTCATAAGGCTTAGCTTCCAGACCCTTGATCATCTTGGTCGCCGCCCTCCTCTGCACATGTTCCAGCTAGTCAACATCCTTCTTAAAATTGTGGTGCCCGGATTTAGGAGAGTTGGGAATCCAACAACATTTGGAAGTCACCATGTTGGCTTTCTATGCTTTAGTGCTAGGGATGACTAATTTGTTGCTGCAGGGCCGTCAGCGGCCCAAACAACACAGGCTGCTGGAACTCCTCAACAGCAGTTGAAAAACTCGTGATACTGGCTTTGCTATGGGCAGGTAGAAGGAGAGTTGCATGCATGCCTTTCAGTAGAATGGAGGCAAAATGCACGACGAAGCTTGGATAGATTATTATTATTTATTAAATTTATATACTGCCCTTCATCCGAAGATCACAGGGCTGCTTATAGGATATGTATGCCCTTTAATGCACAAATGCAGACTTTCATCATAGTGTTAAAGTTGAATTGCTACAGGCCCAGAGGTTGCTGCTAGGTGCCTAAGAGGGCCACCCTTTAATTTATATACAGAGATGCCTTTGGGCAAATTGACATGATAGAGAACTTATACCACCCTCCACCCAAAGAGTTTTGGCCTGAAGGGCTGTTCACATTAGCCCTTTCAATCTCAAGCAGTATTTTGGCGGATTTTGCAAGAGAACATCTTTTTAAAATCCTGCATACTATTTCCTCCCCCTTCCCCCAATTCCCCTTTTACAACAGTTTTTAATGCAATGTTATAAGAAAAAAACTGCTCCCTGTCCCTATTGTCACAACTACTTTCAAACCTCAGGAGTGTAAGAGGGACATTTTAAGGATTAGGGAGGCAGCTGTTTAAGGACTGCTAAATGGCTTTGCTTTAAGAGAGCTTTACGGCGGCTGCTTTCTGGTCCATCTTTGTCAATGTTATGGATTTCTGCTTGTTGTGCTACTGTTCCTAACTGGATATTGATTCTTTAGTGTTTTGTTGTTATGTTTGAGTGTTAGCTGCTTTGAGATTGCAGAGAGTTAAAAAAAAATGGGATACACATTTTAGAAATGAAATAAAAATTAAATAAAAACATGGGTGCAAATGGGATTAAAAGGAGGTCCTGGTATTTTTTAAGAAGATGGAAGGCCCATGCCTCTGTGGTGTGAAAACAGTGCTAATAAATGACCTACATGTATGAGATTGTTCCCAAGTTGCATGAAAATATAGATGTCATTCAGAAAGGTTTTTTTACCCAAGAACATGCAGCAAAGATGGCAGAGGCAGAGCGCTCATTCATTAGCCTAGGCGAGGAGCAACACAAATTTACTGTTCCTATAGCTCAGGCATGGCCAAATTTGGCCCTCCAGATGTTTTGGGACTACAATTCCCATCATCCCTGACCACTGGCCCTGTTAGCTAGGGATGATGGGAGTTGTAGTCCCAAAACATCTGGAGGGCCAAGTTTGGCCATGCCTGCATAGCTAATGAAGACCTGCATGTGCTACAGCAATGTGGGCAGCAATTTCTGGAATTTCCATCATCTGAAAAATTTACTACATTATTTATGATTGACTTGAGATGCTGCGTAAATCTACATGCTAGTCGTCATCATCAACAACAACAACAGCAACAAGATTTATTCAGTACGTATCCAGAGTCATCACCACAAAGCCTGCAAAAACACCTTCCTAGTCACCAATTTTTAGCAATTATCCTTCATTCACCCCAAATGTTTCTCCTTTCCAGATGGCGCTGGATGCATGACAGCCGGCTATTTTTAACCGCTAAATGTGTTCATTGTAACATGAACTAGCATAATGAATGGCAATTTATTCGTCACCTTCTTAACATGCGCGCGCGCGCACACACACACACACACACACACACACAGAGTGACACAGACAGAAGTGTCTGGAGAAACACTCAAAACATATGGAGTTCCTTCCCAAGCCTGCAGATATTATTGTCTCTTCCCCTGCCTCTCCCAGCGACAGCACTCAACTGACAAGACCAATGGCCTGCCTTCCTATGATTGTAAAATAGCACTTTTATGTGCAAAAAGGGACAATGAGAATCTTACTGCTGCGCAGATCCTGAGACAGTGCAATTATTGGCATATCAGGCAAATTGCGCTTATTTCCCCAGATGTACAGATGTTGCAGCAAAGGTGGCTCTCAGAACCCATTAACAGCCTGATGTCAGGCCATTCACTTCATCTTCTACGGATATGCATATGGACCAGATTTAGTATGTGTGATGTACATTAATTTATTTGCACCAGCCAAGGATCTTATTCCACATGAGAAGACCAATACAGTTGCCTTCAGGGTCTCTGCGGCTTTGAGAACAGGTTTCTTTTAGGTGCGCTAGATCTAACGTCACACTCCTTGTGGGGCTAATCCCAAATTCAGCCTCTGCGTTAAAACACAACCTCTGGCGTTCTGATGGCAACTTTAGGTTGTGGGGAAATGCAGCAGCTTCCCTTTTACATGAACAACTCATAGTCCAGGGGAGGAATTCAATGTCCTACTAAAGCAATCGCCCCCTCAGGGCAAGCATTTCAGCTTACCAGCTGGAACAATCCCTGCTCTCCTCCCCACACAAGTTGTGCCAGAGGTCGTCCTTAACCTCCCTCCCTCCACCATAAATTACCATATTTTTTGCTCTATAAGACTCACTTTTTCCCTCCTAAAAAGTAATGTGTGTGCATCTTATGGAGCGAATGCAGGCTGCGCAGCTATCCCAGAAGCCAGAACAGCAAGAGGGATTGCTGCTTTCACTGCGCAGTGATCCCTCTTGCTGTTCTGGCTTCTGAGATTCAGAATATTTTTTTTCCTTGTTTTCCTCCTCCAAAAACTAGGTGCGTCTTGTGGCCTGGTGCGTCTTATAGAGCGAAAAGTACGGTACTTTTCAAAGCTTCCACTGACAGTAGGCATTTGCATCCCACCCAAGATCAGCCATTCCCTCCATCAGCAGAGGGATTTAGATGTCCTGCAGTCACTGTAGGCCCTCTCAATTCACACCGTGAGCAATCATTGGGTGCGTTACACAAGAAATGAGGGAACAGGAAACGTGGGAGTCACTTCTACATTCCACTGCCATTACTGTGAATGCCCAAGGTCATCTTCACTTGCTCAAGAGTATCATTACATCCAGTTGCATCACTATTGCCTAGACAGCAATGACCTTTCAAGTGACTTCTTGTGTATACAAACCAGTTGAGTAGTTTGTAAGCTTTTCAATGGCAACAGATATTGGCTGAACATAAAAAAGCAGCCTTGCTGGATCAGACCCAAAGCCTATGTACCCCAGCATCCTGTTTTCCCCAGTGGGAGGATACGGGTGGTGCTGTGGTCTAAAAACCACTGAGCCTCTTGGACTTGCTGATCAGAAGGTTGGCGGTTCGAATCCCCGCGACAGGGTGAGCTCCCGTTGCTCTGTCCCAGCTTCTGCCAACCTAGCAGTTTGAAAGCACGCCAGTGCAAGTAGATAAATAGGTACAGCTGCAGTGGGAAGGTAAACAGTGTTTCCGTGCGCTCTGGCTTCTGTCACGGTGTTCTGTTGTGCCAGAAGCGGTTTAGTCATGCTGGCCACATGACCTGGAAAGCTGTCTGTGGACAAACACCGGCTCCCTTGGCCTGAAAGCCAGATGAGCGCTCCAAGCCCATAGTCACCTTTGACTGGACGTAACCGTCCAGGGGTCCTTTACCTTTAACTTTTATCTTTCCGCAGTGGCCTACCAGATGCCCATGCAAAGCCCACAAGCTGAACATGAAAGCAACAGCAATCTCCTTCACTCTCCAACCATTCAGCCTCAGTGGATGACTCTTATTTTAAAAGGGACCTCTCTCATGTCCCCCTTTTGCTTCCCTTTATCTAATCTATGTACTGTAAGTTCCCAGACATTATAATGTTTTCTCACAGGGGACTTGTTTCAGTCCCCTGATGATGATAACAATAACAATAATTTATTATGTATATGCTGCCCACCTGGCTGGGTTTTCCTTGCCACTTTGGGCGGCTACCAACACATTAAAACATAATAAGACACCAAACATTAAAAACTTCCCTATACAGGCCTACCTTCAGATGTCTTCTAAAGGTTATATAGTTACTCATCTCCTTGACATCTGATGGGAGGGCGTTCCACTGGGTGGCCGCCACTACCGAGAAGGCCCTCTGCCTGGTTCCCTGTAACCTTACTTCTCCCAGTGAGGGAACAGGCCAAAGACCCTCAGAGCTGGATCTCAGGCTGAACGATGCAGGTGGACATGCTCCTTCAGGTATGATCTCTTTGTTTTGAGATCCAGCTCTGAAGGCTTTCTGGTGGTGAAACCTGCCCCCCAATTTCTGCATGTCTGAAGCATCCCAATTACTTCAGAGGTCCCTGTTTTGGTTCTGGGTGCTTCAGAGAGAGCCGCTTTTGTTTCAGACAAGCCCCATGTCATTTCAAAGTGACCCACTTCAGTTCACGATTTGACATTTGTCCAAATCCAATGAACACAACCAAGTCTGGCTGTAACACTTGTTGATGCACACTCTTAACCTAGAGAATACTAGTAATGTGCTCGACACAAAAACAGAACAAACAATCTCCTTGTGCTCCAAGACACAGACTAACTCACCCTTCTCCTCCTGGCACTAGAGGTTTCTCGCTGCCTGTTGCTTCTGGAGCATCATCTTCGTCTGAGGAGCCAGCACTAGAAGATTCCTCATCGCTGTCTGCAAGGCAATATGCCCTTGGCCTGAAACTGAAAAGAAGGACACATTTCAGTTTTGAAGTGACACCTTATTAACAGAGGTTGGAAACAGGGTTTTTGCTCCTTGCATGACTAGACTATACATCTTCCTGTTTCCCCAGTTAAAAATGTGCGCCGCACCATGCTTTATTTATACAATAATTACTTACTCCAACACAGCTGTGCAGAGCCTAGCTTAAAATGAACGGAAGCATGTGTGAGTTTCTTCCATGCAGTCAAATGGAAGGTGAAGAGACATTTCTGCACAAGTGTCTTTCATGACAATTAAATGCAATGCAAACAATTATAATACCAAACTAGGATGAGCACTTTGACTAAGCACAATTTTTTCACCGGATGAGACATGCTTGGAAAGTCAAATGGGTTTCTGAATGAAACTTGAGGGTTGCTTTTGTGAGCACCATGAGCTTCCAGGAGTTATTTTCTTGCCACCGTATCATATAATTTCCCTCTTATTGCCCTCTGCACACATAGCTGAGCCCCCTCTACCTATCATAATAGTTGCCGGCAGCAACAGAGTTAGAAGTGTTTTAGACAAGACATTTGGTAAGTAGCAGTAAAGGCGGTGATGGTCATAGAGTCAAAGTATAGCTGGCATATTAAGAAGGCCTGAGACAATATAGGGCAAGTCTAGGGAATACATCTTGTTGAGTCTCTAAGTATTCAAATGCAGTATGTATTGAGGGGTTCCCAGCAGGGGAGAAGCCCCAGGCATTGCAGTGTTCCCCAACCTTGGGCCTCCAGCTCTTTTTGGACTACAACTCCCATCATCCCTTGCTAGCAAGACCAGTGGTCAAGGATGATGGGAATTGTAGTCCAAAAACAGCTGGACCCCACGGCTCTAATGTTATGATTGCAGAACTGCCACCTAACCCAGAATTACTAAAAACAATACGTATATGGAACAAAATCTAGATGGTAATCCAAAGAGCCCTAACCGGCAATTTCTCTGTAATGGGTGTAATAATCTGTTATGGCCATTTCACACGCAAGTTGCATGTTCTCAAGTGGACATTCCTTTCCAAAGCCCTGTCCTAACAGTAAGCTCAGATTTTTCTTAGTCGCCAGCAACCAGACAAAAACAGAATACAAGAGGGCTATCTGCAAGCAGCAACTTATCATAGTGTTCAGGTAGTAACATGGAAAAGCTGGCCACCAGTACCACCCTGCCAATTTTTTGAGACAGCCATGATTTTTTCTCCCACGCCCACTTCACCCAACCAGGATGGCTAGATGCAAAACATTTGGCGATGGAGAATTTAGGCCAGGTACTGTCTTCTGTCAGCCTAACCCACCTCACAGGGTGGTTGTGAGGTTTAAGTGAGGAGGAGAGCCATGTGCATTACCTTGAGCTCCTTGGGGGAAATGGCGAGACAAAAATGAATGCGTGTTCATGGTAATTTGAACACACAGCCTTAGTCTGCATTACTAGTCAACAAAACCAAGCTCAGCTGGAAACCAGGTAGAAACATCATCTTCTATAGAATATCCGCAGCTATATAAAACAACCCTGGAGTAAGCCAGATAGTTCAAGGAGAGGTTCTTGAGTAATAACCCTTTCACTGCAACATGTGCTGGCTATAGTGCAATAACGGCTGAATATACACGTGAGGATGAAGGCCTATCAAGCTTCAAGAGGGAGACTTTGAAAACAGTTTTTACTGTTAGCTTTTCCCTGACTGCAGGATGGGCAGAATTAGGTGTGACAACTCCACAATGGAGGAATGTTGCAGTTTATTGATTCTATGGAGCAGTAAAGACCAAATGGAAATTAGCAAACAGCTGTATTTAAAAAAATGAAAGAAGAGGAGCACAGTAGGGAAGTTGTGCTACTCCTGTTGGAGAGATAAAGGTAAAGGTAAAGGGACCCCTGACCATTAGGTCCAGTCATGACCGACTCTGGGGTTGCGGCGCTCATCTTGCATTATTGGCCGAGGGAGCCGGCGTACAGCTTCTGGGTCATGTGGCCAGCATGACTAAGCCGCTTCTGGAGAACCAGAGCAGCGCACGGAAACACCATTTACCTTCCCGCCGGAGTGGTACCTATTTATCTACTTGCAGTTTGATGTGCTTTTGAACTGCTAGGTTGGCAGGAGAAGGGACCAAGCAACGGGAGCTCACCCTATCGCAGGGATTCGAACCGCCAACCTTCTGATCAGCAAGTCCTAGGCTCTGTGGTTTAACCCACAGTGCCACCCGTGTCCTATGTTGGAGAGATGCTTGCCTCTAAATACAAAGAGGCATAGCAGGCAACATTTCCCTTTTTTTAAGGGAAATTCCCTTATTCCGAATAGGATTCCTCGCAAGAAAAGGGAAAAGTTGACAGCTATGCAAAGAGGGCACACACATCATTCCCTAAGCCCAGCTTTAAACATTCCAAGGCAACTGGGGAAGCACAAGAGAGTGCTTCCTCTCGCTCAACTAGACCAGAAGTCATTCCAGTGATTCCGGCTAGAATCACTTAAGGAGCAAACGCAGAAGAAAAGTTAGAGAGCACCTTCAAGCAAATTTAAAGAGTAGAAAGAATTCAGCCTTGATAGGTAGCTAGGGTAAGGGGTTGAAGACAGATATTAACTTCAATGAAACTCCATGCCAAGGTTTTGTTAAGATAAAAGCAAAAACCTTAGAGAGCCGGGTGGCTTCAGTTACCGAAGGGGGCTAACAACTTGCAATACCATTGCCCCTTATTTCCAGCCAAAAAAGGCCCTTTGAATGGTCTCAGCACAAACAGAATGAACACTCCACAAGGGATGAGATGATGCGACAAATACCACTCACCAGATCAAAACAAATCCACAGATTGACGAATCCAAATATTACCAAAAAAAGGAAAGGAAATGAAAGCGGGAAGAAAACCAAAAAAACAAAGACAAGTTAGAGAAGATACAGTATGGAGAAATTGCAAGCTACCTTTACCTAGGAGGGGCTCTATTTGGCCAACATAAAGCAAACAGTACTAGCCAGCTGACATTTAAGCAAAGCTCTTTTTATTGCAGGTTAAGACCACGCAGCAACACTTGAACATTTGACGCAGTATCGGATACTTGGGTTTCCAAAACTGCATAAATGTACGCCAGTAAAACTATTAATATTAGACAAAATATTGATACCGATTCTTGGTAATAGGTATAAGGGGATTGAACCAATACCTGGGAGAGACCCACTGAGGTCTTGTATCTATGCAGAGAGGAGATGCCAGCCAGCCACAATATAATGATGTGAAATCAATGGGGAAGAATAACGCAAGCCGAAAAGCTGGGACTTTAGACCCAGTTCTAGCATAGATATGACCTCTCTTCCTTTGGTCCTACTAAAAACATACATATGCCCACCGATTATATATATTTTTACATATATAATAGGTGCCCTGTGTTTCTGTGCTCTTGGCATATAATGACTGCTGTTTGTCTATTCTCCTGCAATGTGGACAACAAACAAACATCCAGCGTGAGCAAGGAAAAGTGCAAAGCTTCTAAAACGGGGGGGACCCAACACCCACCCCAAACCTAAAAGGTACACAGAATAAGGGCAGGATGATGGAGGTGGAACGAATGTTAGGAAGAACCAATGTTCCCTTGTGGCAGCCTCTTCAGAATTTAAATTGGACTGAACATGTACAGTGGTGCCTCGCAAGACGAAAAGAATCCGTTCCGCGATTCTCTTTGTCTTGCGGTTTTTTTCGTCTTGCGAAGCAAGCCCATTAGCGGCTTAGCGGATTAGCGCTATTAGCGGCTTAGCAGATCAGCTAATAAGCGGCTTAGCGGATCAGCTGATAAGCGGCTTAGCGGATCAGCTGTTAAGCGGCTTTAGCGGATCAGCTGATGCGGCTTAGCGATCAGCTGTTAAGCAGCTTAGCGGCCTTAGCGGATCGCTGATAAGCGTGCTTCTTAGCGGAGGGTGGGGGGAGGAAAAACCCTGCAGGAACTCGCAGACGTTTTCGTCTTGCGAAAGCAAGGCCATTAGGAAATTCGTTTCGAAGGCACTCCAAAACGGAAAACCCTTTTCGTCGAGCGGGTTTTCGTCTTTGCAGCATCGTCTTGGCAGGCACCTGTACTCTTAGTGCTGAGCACCAAAGACACAGCAGCTGTTTAAAACAGAAGTAGCCATGTTGGTGGCCCTTTTGGATGTTTGGGCCACCGACTATGTGGTGAATGCTGCAGGAGTTGTAGTGCTCTTGGAGAGCATTACATTAGCCAATTACTTACATTACATTTTAAACCCCTGGTTAAAAGTACAAATTATTTTTATTCTCTTGTTCATTTATTGCTTGAACCAGCGTTTTATTTCGCACTGATACATAAAATTTTATTTTTCCCCTTCTGCCCCCTCCATTCCTACTTGGGATCAGTGCCAGATTTATGTATAAGCTAAACAAGCTATAGCTTAGGGCTCCACTCTCTTGGGGCCCCTCAAAAAAATTAAAGGAAAAAAACTGGATGTACATTTCCAAAATATAAGATAAAAAAAACAAATAAAACAAAACAAATGTGATTAAAGTACATATTTTGTTATGTGCAAATGGCTTTAGATACCTATTAGGTCCATAAATTACCATATAGCATATATTCAACACAAAAAACAGTGACAATTTGTTGTTGACAAAGGACAGCTGCGCATATAAAGGGCCTCATTACCTTCATTAGCTTAGGGCCTCATCAAACCTAAATCCAGCCCTGCTTGGGATAGAGAAGCTAGAAATTAAAGAAAAAATCTATTTCCAGAATGATCTCTGTCCAGTGCCATTACCATTAGTTTATTAGGGTACAGTTTAGCTAACTTTGAAGTTGTTATTCATCAGTCTACAGGTGGTCACAAGACTTACTGACCAATCCCCGCCTCTCACTTTTGAGATCAGTTTTAGCATAGTGCGACAACTTCCCCAAAACTGTAATCAGTTATTCATTATAAAACTCCAGACTTATCAGCTCATTCAAACACTATCTAGTTTCTATTACAGAGTTTTATGAAGAGCATTCTGTACTTAAAAAAACACACCAAAACAGTAGGGAAAAAATTCCTTACCCTTCTTTGCCAATTTCTCCAACTTTCAGTGCTTCACCTAGAGGTTCCTTTCCAAGTTTGGTCAAATTCATTTTGGTCTCCAGGGTCATTAGAAAAGATCCACTGTAAGATATTTCCAAGTCAATCCAAAGCCCTAGAATTGTTGGGGAAAGCAACATTTTAGGTATGACTGAAACTACCACACAATGTCCAGGAAAATGCTGAAACACACAGAGCGAGATTGATCCCTACCTCTTTTTTCAAACCTCTTGTTTTACGTTAGGCCAACACTATCACGACTAGTCAAATAGCAACTTAAGATTAAATAACTAGACAAAAAGCAACTTACAAACATGATACGGGGCAGTACTCTGCAAGTCACCGAATCTAGAAATGTTAAGGGCTTAAATAGTATTCATCATGCTGGTCTCAGCAAGCCGCAACTGTGTTTTTAATTGGACTAACTTCGGTTGGAAAGAGAAGGCAGTTCCCCTCTTGCAACACAGAAGGTGGCCTAGTAAAGAGGAACCAGCTTTCCTCGGCATCTTAGGAAAGTCCAAAGGCCACTTTCACTATCATAGGCCATCATACTGGTTGCAAAGGCATAATGTAGGGGTGGGGACTCCTAAAACAGGGTTGGGGAACCAGCAGCCCTCCGGATATTGCTGCACTCTCAACTTCACTCTCAGCCCCAGCCAGCATGACCAATGGCATAGGATGATGGGGAGGCCATAGTCTGAAAAAGGGTTCCCCATCCCTGTCCTAAAGATTAGCAAAAGGTCCTGTGAGGCCTTCATATGTGTACCTGTGCAGAGGAATCTCTGCAGATCAGCTGATTAAGAAGGAACACCCTACAAAGGCATGGAATCTGCAGCTGTATTGTACTGTTTACTGAAATGACAGCCTACATTCCACTGGACTTTATATGGACTGCCGTTGCAGAAATAAACAATTAAGAATATTGCCACTGTAAGTAGTTCTATAGATACAGTGGAACCTCTATTTGCGTCCATAATCCGTTCCGGAGGTCGAAACGGGTCACTGGGAGAGGCGCAGGTGTGGACGGTGATTGCCCGCTTCTGCGCATGTGCAAACGGTGATCGCCGCTCCTGCGCATGTGCAAACGGCAGCAAACCCACCGGCTACTTCCGGGTTTGCCGTGGTTGTGACTTGGAACGACGGTAAGAAGAGGTGGTGGTAAGTAGAGGTTCAACTATACTGGCTAAGAATCAAAAGGCATGCAGCCCTTGGCTACCACTTGCACTGCTTGCACTCCACTGGAGAAACTGCTCTGATGAAGGCCCCCTGGGCTTGGAGCAGCTTGCCAGGCAGTGCATCAGGGAAGGAGGCAGCGACAGAAGCAGAAAACTCTGAAGACCAGCTGCACGTGCAGAGCTACCCTGACCGACCTTTGGATCCCGGTCATAAAACATGGAAGCATCGGCAATTGTCTTAATTGCCATTCACTTCACGTGGGCATTCGTTTGTTCGCGACATATGAGTGATGGGAAATGATCTGCAGAATGGCTTGCACGTGAAGCGCTCTCTGTTCCTCCGCGCAACATCCCGCAATTATGAAAGGAGGAAGTTGGAGAGAACATCTGCGAGGCAGAGAGATAAACGGCCGTTTAACAGGCTTGGAACTTTGTTCCTGCCTTGCTAATGAAGGAAATGAAAAGAAGGAGCATCTCAGAGCTTATGCAACGCTAATGTTTACGATGAACTGGGAGGAAGTGTGTTCTTGGCCTGGAAGAGTATACAAGCTGATGATGAAGACCAAAGGTCAAAAAGCATCCAGCCAGATCTCTGACTGCAAGAGGATAGCTTCTTTTTTTAAAAAAAATAATTTTTATTAATTTTCCAAGCATATAATAACAACAAACAATCAAACAAAACATACAAACATATAAACATGTATACTTTCATAATCTTATCTTCCTACACCTTGCTTCCCGGACTTCCCCATACCTCCCCTTTTCTGCATCCTTGTTTTTGCCTTTCTTCAGCAACCCTCCAACTGACTAATTAATTCACTTTCATTCTAATTTCCTTAACTTATTGTTTACAGCTGCAATTCTCTATTTCTTAACACCTTAACATCTCATTACACTTCAATTTTACAACAGTTTTTAAGATAAATTTTAAATTTCTTCCAGTCTTCTTCCACTGTCTCTTTCCCCTGGGTCACGGATTCTGCCGGTCATCTCTGCCAGTCCCATGTAGTCGATCACCTTCGCTTGCCATTCTTCCAGAGTGGGTAACTCTTGTGTCTTCCAATACTTTGCCAAAAGAATTCTTGCTGCTGCAGTAGCATACATAAAAAACGTCCTATCCTTCCTTGTCACCAATTGGCCAACCATGCCCAGGAGGAAAGCCTCAGGCTTTTTAGAGAAGGTCCATTTAAGAACCTTCTTAATTTCATTATAGATCATTTCCCAAAAGGCTTTAATCTTCGGGCAGGTCCACCAAAGGTGATAAAAGGTACCTTCAGTCTCATTACATTTCCAGCATTTGTTGTTGGGCAAATGATAAATTTTTGCAAGCTTGACTGGGGTCATGTACCACCTATAAATCATTTTCATAATGTTTTCTCTTAATGCATTGCATGCCGTAAACTTAACACCAGTATTCCATAACTGTTCCCAGTCAGCAAACATAATATCATGACCAATGTCTTGTGCCCATTTAATCATAGCTGATTTAACCGTTTCATCCTGTGTATTCCATTTCAACAGCAAATTATACATTCTTGACAAGTTCTTAGTATTGGGTTCTAACAGTTCTGTTTCTAGTTTTGACCTCTCCATCTGGAAACCTATTTTCCTGTCATAGGGCGGTAGTTTTTAACCTGGTTCTTTTCAGTCTCAGTTTTCGGTATAAGTGAGATAAAAGCTTCTTTCCACGATTCAGGTGCCTTTTTCCCCTCCAAAATTTCATTGCAAACTTCCATCAGTGGTTGTACTAGCCATTCCTTCAATGCTTTATAATATTTAGCCGTCAAACCATCTGGTCCTGGAGATTTTCCCAATTGCATATTCTGAATGGCACCCTCTATTTCTTGTCCTGTTATTTTCTCATTCAAAATCATTTTGCTTTGCTCTGAAATCTTTGGTAATCCATACTTCTTGATAAATTCTTCTATTTCTTGTTCGTTGACTGGCCCTTGTGCATATAATTTCCTGAAAAAACTTTGGAAGCAATTACTTATCTCATTTGGTTTGTGGATTATCTTTCCGTCCATTTCCAGGCTTGTCACAGTGTTCAGTTTTTGCCTCTTTTTCAGTTGCCATGACAGAAGTTTCCCACATTTATCTGCCAATTCAAATGTCTTTTGTCTCATTTGCTTTATTTTCCATTCTATCTCTTGATTCATCAATTCCATGTATTGCATCTGGTAGTACTTTATTTCCCTCAAAATCTCGTGAGACTTTGGTTTAGACCTCAATTTCTTTTCACCTTCTTTCATTTTTTCCAAGATTTTCTCTTTCCTCTCATTCTGCTTTTTCCTCTTTATGGAATTTTGTTGTATTAGGAAACCTCACATCACGGCCTTGCTTGCGTCCCAAATTGTTCTTTTCTCCACATTAGTTCTCAAGTTTATCTCAAAGTAATCTTTCAATGCCTTTTGGGCCTTCTTGTAAATCTCTTCATCTTTAAATAGGGTGTCATTCATCCTCCATCTAAAGGTTCCAGTTGTTGTTAGTTTCATCTCCATCTTCACAGCATTATGGTCGGAGCAAGTCTTTGGGCAGATTCCTACTTTTTTTATCCTTGGCGCCATACTACTAGTTACCCAAATTTGGTCGATCCTTGTCCATGTCATTTTTGCTTCAGAGAAAAAAGTTCCCTCTCTCTCAAGAGGGTTCCTTACTCTCCAAATATCGATCAAATCCAGTGTTTCAGTCATTTCAAAAAAGGTCTTTGGTAGTCTCCCTTCCTTAGAAATTGTTTGTCTCTGTGCCTTGTCCATGTTTGTAGAAACGACACCGTTCATGTCTCCCATCATTATAATTTTGTAGTCCAAATAGTCCATTAAAGTCTCATGCAACTTCTTAAAGAATTCCGCCTTCCCCTCATTTGGTGCATATATTCCCACTATCAAAATTTTTTCTCCTTGTACTTGTACTTCTATTGCCAGGTATCTTCCTTGTTCATCTTTGAATATCATTTTAGGAGCCAATCTTTCTTTTGCATAAATCACTACGCCTCTTTTCTTAACTTTATCCGATGAAATAAATTCTTGTCCAAGTCTCTTATTTACAAGTAGTTTTCTGTGTGTCCTGGTCACATGCGTTTCTTGTAGACATATTAGGTCTAATTGCTCTCTCTTCAGTATGTGAAAAACTTGGCGTCTTTTTCTGGGAAGGTTAAGACCATTACAATTCCAGCTGAGAAGTTGCAGAGACATTTTGCTACTATGTGCCTGTTCCTCCAACTGCTCCAAGCTTTTGTTCCTCCTCCGATGGTGGTATAAGTCCAAATGATAGGTTTGCAATGTCTGTCGATCCTTTGTCTAGTGTTGTTTCTACTGTTCCTTTCTGCAGGTCCTCCTGATATCTTTCCAAGAACTGTTCTTTGTCTTGGACTGTTCTTATTTTGACCTTCCTTCCTGTGTAGTTAAAAGATAGTCCTTGTGGAAACTCCCACCTGAAGAGTATGTCGTTTTTCTTCAGCAGGTAGACCAAATCTTTATAGAAGGCTCTCACCTCCAAAATATATTTAGGGATATCTTTGAAGATTTGCACTTGACTATTCCCAATCTCGAGGGCCTTATGGTAATGTAAGTTCAGTATTTTATCCCTTTCTTCTTTAGATCTCAGTGTAATCAGACAATCCCTAGGCTTCTTACCTTGCCTCCTGCCCAGCCGGAAAGCTGTTGTTATTTCAAGTTCTTCCTCCTGTATTTCGCCTTGCCAAAATTCCAAAATGTTCTGTGTGAGGAATTCCACAAGGTTATCTTTCTCACTCTCTGGAACCAATCTTAATTTCAGATTTTTCTCCTTTCTCTGAAGTTCCAATAAGGATAAAGTTATGTCATGTTCATTCACTTTTTTTGTGATTGGCACAAGCTCCTTCTTTGTCTCATCTGCAGTATTTTTTGCACTTTCAGCAATTTTTCGTGTTTCAGAATTTTCCTGAATCAATTTATTTATA